ACCACGCTAGAAACACACAAGCACGCAGGAAGATCGCGCCACCACAGATATTGGATTTCTTGATGAAATCTCCGGCAAAACGCTTTAAAACTGGTGAGGAGAAGCGAGACAGTTCGAAACGGTATGAAGCAGAGAAGCGTGTGCGTAGGTGGAATGATTCTTGGCGGTTTAAAGAAGACGGGAGGCGCAGAGAATGGCCGTGTTCGAGTTGAGCAGCGCATCGCCTGGAAAACAGGCGAGAGAAGACGGAAGCAGCGGGGGGAGTGGCTGAAAGCCGGCGTTTACGCCGGGGACACACCGGCCGCGGAAGCACCCGAAGCGCCGAGAAGCGAATTGCTCACGAAATCCGGCCGCTGCTCGCCGCTCCTTAGTTCAGATCAGACGCGCCCCATTCGAGGCGCGCCTCGGCTCAGCTGTAGTTTTTCTTTTAACTTCTCCTCCATTTCCTCTCTATCTTTTCTCAGCTCTTTTCCTCTACGTGTGTGTGTGTGTGTGCGCGTGTGTGTGTGTGCGTGTGTGTGTGTGAGAGAGAACCTATGGTGTGAACCAGTTGTTTCTGCCAGTTGAATCTCTTGTATTTCCCTACATGTGTAGCTCGGGGGTGACGATGGCTGAAGATATCGCGTTAGCATTCACACTTGTTCAATTTTAATTCTGGTGCCTGTTAGCAGCTGAAACACATCCTCACGTGTTTGTGGATATCATATATTGTATATGGAGACATGACTGTAATAATAAGTAAAGGTAATCAGCTGTAGGTTTAGTGTGCTCATAGGAAACGTGACAAAAGAAAACAAAACACATTTTTCTTTGTGGCCTATATAGTTGTTATCATCAACGTTACATGATTTACAGAATACATGTGAACAACTAACATTTCATGTTCTACCACCGGATGTTTGGATCAAAATATGAACCAATCAGATCTGAGATCAGGTGAGAGCCAGGCGTTTCCCATCATCCTCTAGGTTTTGCAGCCGAGGGAGAACAACTGCAGCACCTTGCTCCAAAATCTGCGGCCGCCTTGATCTCACGAGGTTATCGTTGTCTACGTATGCATGACGTCAGAGCAAGTCGGCGTCAATTCGGACACAAATCTAACCGGCATGCACTGCTCGCCGATCACTGCTGGTCTAATCTGCGCAGAACTGGCTCACCTCGAACACAGTCAATGGCTCGAGTACAGCAAAGCGGAGTTGGTGATGTACTGCGTTGTATGTCGGAAGTATGCGACGACAAAATCGAGTTTTGTTGAGGGAACAAACAAATTCAAACTTGAATACGTTATTATGTTTGTGAATGTGTACAAAATAAAGGTTTATTACATTTAAAACCGTTCAGTTGTTATTTTGACTCGTTTTGGCAGCTGACCAGCGGGGCCGGTAGATTCTTGGCAGGGCCGGTAAATATTCAGAGTTACCGGCCCTGCTGGCCGGTTGGTTTTGAAGTTAATGTCCACCCCTGTGGAGGTGTCAACTTCTGGACCGTCGACCTCTGGTCCGTCGACTTCCGGTCCGGGGGCGTCGACTTCCCATCCGGGGGCGTCGGCTTCTGGTCCAGGGGCGTTGACTTCAGGACCGCCGACTTTTGGACCGCCGACTTTTAGACCGCCGACTTTTGGACCGGAACCGGAACCGTCTGCTTCTGGGCTGGTACCGTCAGCTTCTGGGCCGGTACCGTCAGCTTCTGGGCTGGTACCGTATGCTTCTGGGCCGGTACCGTATGCTTCTGGACCGGCACCGCTGTGGGAGGGGCTGCCTGGACAGGCTGGACCGGATGCTGGAAGTTGGCAGTGTTGTTCTACTGGATGTTTGATGCTCTCCTGACTAACCAAGCCTGAACGCCTGTTCTATCATTATTGGATCATTTCTCTCAGATTGCTGATTGGCTGCACCTGGCGGTACGGCGTTTCCTGTTTCCTGTTTTCAGTGTTGCACTCCGTGAAGCTGCTTGGTGTTTGGGGCTCGCTAAAACCGATTTAATTTCTCTGTAACAGGATATCTCTGAGTTATCGTAGCACATAAGCACGCTAAAACACACATTTTCTGTTGTTCCACCTAGCTTTTAGGGAACCATCTGAGTTCGCACACAGTTTATTTGGTGTTGAACAGTTTGCTGTCCAGTTAGCTTATCCTCAGTACGGCTATGGCTACTTCTGTCTCTGCTTCTCCGTCTCCTATCTCTTGCTCTCTGTGTCAGATGTTTAGTTACTCCTCTGCCTCCTTTAGTGATAATGGTACCTGTAATAAATGTAGCATTTTTGTAGCTTTGGAGTCGAGGGTGTCGGAATTGGAGTCCCAGCTCCGCGCTGTTGAAAAACCCGTAAACAGCCGTAGCTACTTAGCTAGCGCGGGGCTAACTAGCTCAGAACAACCCCGTAGTGGTCCTCCAGTAGAACCCGAGCAGCCGGGACCTCAGGCCGGCTGGGTGACGGTACGCAGGAAGCATAGAACCCAGCCCGTGGGCCACCACCAACCCGTCCACATTTCTAATAGATTTTCCCCGCTCAGTGACGCACCCACTGACAAGCCGACTCTGATCATTGGCAGCTCCATAGTCAGAAACGTGGCATTAGAGACTCCAGCAACCATAGTTAAATGTTTAACTGGGGCCAGAGCGGGCGACATTAAATCTTATCTGAAACTGCTGGCTAAGGATAAGCGTAAATACAGTAAGATTGTTATTCACGCTGGCGGTAATGACACCCGGTTACGCCAATCGGAGGTCACTAAAATTAATGTTGCTTCGGTGTGTAAGTTTGCCAAAACAATGTCGGACTCCGTAATTTTCTCTGGCCCCCTGCCTGATCGGACCAGTGACAACATGTTTAGCCGCATGCTGTCCTTCAACCGCTGGTTGTCTAGGTGGTGTCCTGAAAACAACGTGGGCTACATTGATAAATGGAAAACTTTTTGGGGAAAACCTGGTCTGATGCGGAGAGACGGCATCCATCCCTCTTTGGATGGAGCAGCTCTTCTTTCTAGGAATATGGCCAGTTTTATTAGTCCTCCATGACAACCCAGGGTCCAGACCAGGAAGCAGAGTCGTAGTTTAACCCACCCCTCTGCAGCTTCTGTACTGTTACCCACCCACTACCCCATAGAGACAGTGTCCTGCCCACGGCCAAAATCACACAGATTAAATATCAGGCTTAATAAAGCAAACCATGGAAATCTCATAAATATTAGAACAAATTCAACTGAGCAGAAAACTAGAAATATTAAATGTGGGTTGTTGAACATTAGATCCATTTTTTCTAAGACTTTGTTAGTTAATGACTTGATTTGTGATAATCAGATCTCTTTGCTCTCTCTCAGAATCCTGGCTGCAGCAAGAGGACTATGTTAGCTTAAACGAGTCGACTCCTTCAAATTATTTAAATCATCATATTGCTCGAAGTACAGGACGAGGAGGAGGAGTAGCAACCATTTTTCAATCGGACTTATTAATCAGTCCCTTACCAATTAATAGCTACAGTTCGTTCGAACATCTTATTCTTAGTTTTCCTAATTCAGATTGCAAAACTGTGAAACCACTCTTGTTTGTAGTTTTATATTGTCCACCAGGCCCTTACTCTGAGTTTTTGGATCAGATCTCTGATTTTTTTATCTGATTTGGTGCTAAATACTGATAAGGTCATTGTAGTGGGGGATTTTAATATTCATGTGGACATTGAAAATGATAGCCTCAATGTAGCCTTTAGTAATATCTTAGACTCAATTGGTTTTACTCAAAGAATACATAGCTCCACCCACTCCTGCCATCATACATTGGACCTTGTGCTGACTTATGGCATAGAGTGTGAGGAAATAACGATCTTTCCACATAATCCAGTCCTCTCGGACCACTTTCTGATAACCTTTGAGTTTTTTATAACTGAGTTCTCGAGACATGAAAGTAAATTTCACTATAGTCGGTCTCTATCTGACAATGCAGTTGCATCTTTTAAATCAACTGTTCCATCTTTACTGTCCTCAGCATCTCAGAGGGCAATATTCTCAGTTTTAACCCCTCACAAATTGATACCTTAGTTCATCATGTTAATTCCTCTTTACGTGTGGCATTAGATGATGTTGTCCCTTTAAAAAAGAAGGTAATTAGGGACAGGAAGTTGGCTCCCTGGTTTAACTCTCATCTACGAGCCTTAAAACAAAACTCTAGGAAATTGGAGAGAACATGGCGCTCTACGCACCATGAGGAGGCCTACCTATCCTGGAAAAGTAGTCTTGTGCTTTATAAAAGTAAGCTTCGACAAACTAGAACTGCTTATTTTTCAGCGTTAATTGAGGAGAATAAGCATAATCCTAAATTTATTTTCAGTACAGTTGCAAACTTACACAGAATCATAGCTCTGAGCCATCTATTCCCTTAGCCCTCAACAGCAATGACTTCATGGGATTTTTTACAAGTAAAATTAATTCTATTAGAAACAAAATCTTTAGCATTCTCCCTAATGCGATTTCTTCTTCCTCAGTAAGTGAGGCAGCAACAGAGGTGATTTTAGAACCTCATCTGTGCTTGAACCGTTTTGATCCAGTTGAGCTTTCAGAGTTATCAAAAATATTAGCTTCATCTAAACCTTCAACTTGCATTTTGGATCCAATCCCAACCAAATTATTTAAAGAAGCATTTCCTTTGGTTACTGCCCCCATTCTAAATATAATCAATCTATCCTTAGTAAATGGGTATGCACCACAAGATTTTAAGGTTGCTGTAATCAAACCTTCACTTAAGAAGCCTTCTCTGGATCCAGATGACCCAATGAATTATAGACCAATATCTAACCTTCCATTTTTATCCAAAGTCCTGGAGAAAATAGTGGCCATCCAAGTATGTCAGCATTTAAACACTAATGCTCTGTTTGAGGAATTTCAGTCTGGTTTTAGAGAGTATCACAGCACTGAAACTGCATTAGTGAGAGTTACAAATGATATTCTCATGGCCTCAGATAAGAATCTTGTGTCTGTTCTAGTCTTGTTAGATCTCAGTGCTGCCTTTGACACAGTTGATCACAATGTTCTTTTAGAAAAACTTGAACATGTTGTAGGGATCAAAGGAGCAGCGTTATGCTGGTTTAAATCCTACCTGTGTGACAGATTTCATTTTGTAAATGTACATGACAAATCTTCTTCATACTCCAGGGTTACTTGCGGAGTACCACAGGGTTCAGTGCTTGGACCAATTCTTTTTACTATATATGCTCCCAATTGGTAAAATCATTAGACAGCATGGGATAAACTTCCACTGTTATGCTGACGATACTCAGCTATATTTATCCATTAACCCTGATGAACCTAATCGGTTGGGTAGATTACAGGCTTGTCTTGAGGACATAAAACATTGGATGACTCTAAACTTTTTGCTTTTAAATCAAGACAAGAAGGAAGTTCTCATCTTTGGAGCAGAAATCCAGAAAAGGAAATTGCTTAGCCAATCACCTGACTTGAATGGCATTACATTAATCTCCGAGAACAAAGTAAGGAACCTTGGTGTTATCTTTGACCAGGACATGTCATTCAAATCCAAGGTTTCACAAGTTTGTAGGATTTCCTTTTTCCACCTTCGGAATATTGCTAAGATTAGAAGCATACTTTCCAGGAGTGATGCTGAAAAACTAGTTCATGCATTTATTACATCAAGACTGGATTACTGTAATTCATTACTCTCAGGAAGTCCACAGAATGTAGTTAAAAGTCTTCAGCTTGTCCAAAATGCTGCAGCTAGAGTTCTGATGAGAATTAAAAAGAGCGATCATATCTCTCCTGTCTTGGCTTCCCTACATTGGCTACCTGTTAAATTCAGAATAGATTTTAAGATCCTCCTTCTCACATACAAAGCTCTTAATAATCAAGCTCCATCATACATCAGTGATCTGATTGTTCCATACGTTCCTAACCGAGCACTTCGCTCTCAGACTGCAGGTTTACTGGTGGTTCCCAGAATATCTAAAATTAGGATGGGAGGCAGATCTTTTAGTTATCAGGCTTCTCTCCTGTGGAACCAGCTCCCAGCCTTAGTCCGTGAGGCAGACACTTTGTCTACATTTAAGAATAGGCTTAAAACATTTTTATTTGATAGGGCCTATGGTTAAAATCCGATGTTAGCCTAAATCAGGACAAGTGGGGGAGTAGAGGGAGGTGGAGTGTACAGTCTGTAAAGACGACTCTCCCTTGCCCTAACTCCAACATGCCTCCATCTAAATAGGGTAGATTATCCAGAGTTATCTCTGTAGTTATGCTGCTAAAGGGCTTAGACTGCTGGAGGATACACTGACCACTTTCCACACTCTACTGCTTTCTTCTACATTCTGCTCTTTAACTGTATTTTTTTCTGCAATTTCAGCTGTTATTTTTATTTTCTCTCTAAGTGTTTTTCTCCCCAGAAGAAGCTACAACGATGTTCTGCTGAGCTGTGGTGGCCTCATGGAGGGGGCCATCGTCTAGCACACTGCTGCTAACCACTTAAACATTCTCCTTCTCCTGATAATGACTTTTTGCTTTCCTTGACGTTGGACGTGTTACTGCTAGTTTACCCATTTAATTAGAGATCCACTAGGATAAATACAATAAAGTTGATCTCACCAAATAGAATATTTACTAAGACATCACAATAGAACTATAGACACGTCATTGTGTGTTTGTGTGTGTGTGTGTGTGTGTGTGTGTGTGTGTGTGTGTGTGTGTGTGTGTGTGTGTGTGTGTGTGTGTGTGTGTGTCTGCTCTATCTTCTCGATCCCCAGTGAGTCGTGGAGGATGGCTGCTTATACTGAGCCAGGATTCTCTGGAGGTTTCTTCCTGTTAAAAGGGAGTTTTCCTCTCCACTGTCGCTGCATGCTTGCTTAGTATGAGGATTGCTGTATAGTCACTGACACTCGTCAGTGACTTGATGCAATTTGCTGGGTTCCTTATATAGCAGGGGTGGGCAATTATTTTTTCCTTGGGGCCACATGAGAAATAGAAAATATTGTGGAGGGCCAGTCCAAAAGGCTGAAGTCAATTATGCATAATATTAATGGTATTTCTTTATAAAAAGCAGTAAATACCATTGTTTTTTAAAGCTGGTAAGACTAGACTATATGTTATAAATGAGCAAAAAGGAAAAAGTGAGGTTGGCTTACAAAAATGTGATTTATTCAAATTTCCCAAGGCAATGGTAAACAAAGTGCGCATTTGGTTTTTGTTAAACATTTGTGACTTATATTAGTTAACAGTTTTAGTCACATTCACTCCAAAACACATTTTGAGTTTCAAATATTGTTGGAAAGAGGTTCTTAGCATTCTACCGACACACAGTATTGTCTGTAAAATAAAATCACTGAACTGTGATCTTGAGAAAGAGGTTTAAAAAAAAGTGTCCCAGTTCACTGCTAGTTGCCTACATTTGTGGTCCAAACACCTTATTTTGTGTTTTTAAGCAATTTTTTTCTTATTCAGTGAGAGAAATCTCTGCTGGGCTTTAACGAGTGCATCAAAGTCAGGTTGAATGTCTGAGGTGGAGATGCGAAGCACAGCTGACAAATGATCATCAGCGAGAGAGGATCTTTACCTGGATTTTGTAAACTTCATCATTGAAAATGTTTGTTCACAAATGTAGGTAGAGCCGAAGAAAACCAACATCTTCTGAGCATGTCTCCTCAGGTTTGGAAAGTCCTCCTTAAGAGAAGAGTAGAAATCCAGCAGAGATCCTGAATCTCTGCTTTCAAGTCCCAAACCCTCTTCAGCACTTTCCCCAGGCTGAGCCAGCTGACAGCTGTGTGGAGTCCTCCAAAAGAGCCACACACTGTCTGTGATTCATCGCCCGCGCCCTGATGAAGTTTATTGTTTTAGTAACAACATCAGTAACATGGTTGATTTTTAGCACTGACTTGCACAACACATGTTGGTGTATAATTCAGTGCAAAAACACCTATTTTTGATCTGCATCGATTTCTGTCACTTTATCTTGCATGCGTTTCTAAAGTCCGACATTTTTCCCTGTAAGATTTGGACAACCGTCTGTTGTGACACCTGACAGTCTCTCCCATTTCAATCCCAGAGTGTCCATGCACGCATTTACCTCTGTAAAAAGATCACTCCCTGTCATTGTCCCTCTCATCGACCGCATTGCTGCCAGCTCCTCTGTGAGCTCCGTTATCCCCGGACAAATACGAGCAGCTGGGCTGTGTCGCGGACATCACAGCTCTCGTCTAATGAGAAAAAGTCAAAACTTGCCACTTCACGTTGCAGCTGAAGCTCCAGGTTCCCCGCAATGTCCTCGATCCTCCTGGTCACGGTTCACCTGGACAGCGGGATTTGCTCAAATGCGCCTTTTTTCAGGGCATATTAGTGCGGCAGAGTCCACCATGCACTCTTTGACAAACTCTCCCTCCGAAAACGGCTTGCTGTTTTTAGCTGTTTTGTGGGATATCACAAAGCTGGTCCTGGTTGCTGCATCCCTGGATGTGTGAAGCTTAGTAAAACAGCATTGCTGCTTTTGCAACTTTGCTAGCAAAGCTTCGGATGTCCGTGCCCTCTCAGCATCAGATGAGTTCTTGTATTTTTCCGAGTGTTTCTTGTCGTAATGCCGACTCAAATTGTAGTCCTTAAACATGGCAATCTCCTCCCTGCAAACCAAACACACGGCTTTACCTCCGACTTCAGTAAAAAAAAAAAACGTATTCCAATTTTTGTTGAAAATCCTGCATTCGGCATCTTTCTTTCTTTATTTTTTATTTATTTATTTATTTTTTGCATGAGCGGACATTTCTCGGGCTACAATCACCATGTCAACCGCGGGCACTTGTTGCTATACGTATTGCATCATTGTGCACGTAAAAAACAACTTCAAAATAAAAGCAATGCAGCCTTAGCCCATGCATGAGGTAAAATGAGAAAATACATTTATTTTGTAATTTCCAATTAACCTTACGCGGGCCGGTCAAAGTCAACCAAAGGGCCGTATGTGGCCCGTGGGCCGTAAAATGCCCAGGTCTGTTATATAGGAAACATTATTTCTGATTGGCTTAATGAACTGTGAATTGGAATGTTTATTATGTGAAGTGTCTTGAGACGACTCTTGTCGTGATTTGGCGCTACATAAATAAACTTGAATTGAATTGAATTGAATGCGGTGCGACCTCCGGGACCACCGCTGGAACTGGATGCTGTAAAACTGGTGGTGCTGGAAGCCGTGAGAGCAGGGAGGACAGACCGTCCAGCTGAAGCTCCTTGAGGCTGAGGGTCCGACGGAGCTGGGCCAGCTCAGCCCGGAGACCGTCAAGCTCCGCTGGGTGGACCCCAGACTCTCTCCTCTGTCCCTGAGATGAGGAATCCGCTGGCTGGACTGAGACCCTCTCCTGGTGGTTCGAGGAGGATAGAGCGTCCAGGCGGGACTCCTGGAAGCTGACGAGCTGGCGGACCCAGCCAAGCTCCGCCTGGAGACTGACGAGCTCCGTCAACTAGGCTGCAGCCAAAGCTCCTCCGCCTGCACATGACAGAGGCTCTGATTGGGCTGGTCTGACTCGTGGCCAGAGCGATCCAGGAGCGTCTCCCGGTCCAAACTCCCTTTCGGTTCCGGGAGGGAGGCGAGGAAAGCCGAGGGAGCAGGTCAGTGCCGTCGTCTGCAGCGAGGTGGAGCTGGAGAAGGAGAAGCCGGCCGATGGTCAGAGGAGAGGAACTGGAGCAGGCACCCCCATGGGAGAATCTTCCCGCTGGATCCTTTGCTAGGTCGGTTCATTCTGTCACACGCGTGCCGGTGAGTGGAGCGGAGGTAGGATCCAAATGCGGGGAGGAAAAAGGCAAACAGGTAGGTACTTTTACCATAAGTTTAATAATGACACACGCTGGACAACTGAAACAATGAACCGACACAAGACACAGAACAGAAGGGGTTTAAATACAGGAGGACCGGGAGCTAAGGTGAATGGGAAAACGAGAGGCAGGTGGGAGTAATTAACGAGACACAAGGCTGAACCAAACAGGGAGACAGGACAGAGTGTGACAGTTGAATGCTACAGCTGATACCGCAAACGGTTCCTTCAGAACAAAGCTGAACCAGCTTCGAGTCCTTAAGTGTCCTCCATAGACGCAAATAACTACGTGTCATGACCTGGAGATATCTCGAGACTGGTCTAGTCAGCACTGCAGTTTCTTCTACGGACTTCGGTACCTTTGGGGTCCCCGGACTTCAACACATTCCGGATCTACCACGGGGGTCTCGGAGAGGGTACATAGACTCGACAGATTGCGTCTGATGTGGTTTTATAAACCATCACTATAGTTATAGCAGACCAAATTCACTCCCACTCAGAACTCAGTTTCTTCAGATACGAGGGTTCTGATAACATCATATTCACACATCATCACACCTCACATTCCATCCACTTAGATTCATTAATCACATAAAGTGTTCTTAGTTGTCATGTTTTTAATTATGAAAATAAGTTTCTTACTTTTTATAAACTTGACTCTGTCTGAATTGATACAAAGTGTCTTACAATCCCTGAATAAACAAAGGATTCTAAATCTTCTGGTTAATCAATCAAATCAAATCAAAGATACTTTATTAATCCCAGAGGGAAATTAGATATTCAAAAATCAATCAGATTGGATTTCTGTATTTATGTAGAAATTCATATCTTATTGGTCAAATGTAGCGTAGTATATTGAGCTTTAAAAGCACCCAAAAAAATACGTACGTATTACCGGGAAAGGACCAAACAACAAACTAAATCAGCCAGCGTTTGTGTGCTTGCTATTTGATTACGCTGTTGCTATCTGTGACATGGAAATGATTCCATTAAAGTAACAACAGATAGTTTGTTAAACTTTAAACTGGAGCTTTAATATTGATTTCAGATATTGTTGGATTAGAAACTTGACCAGTTTCACGAGGAGCAGGAAACTGTTCACTGTCCCGTTGTTCATTCTGGCTCTAAATAACAATATTTTATTTTGTTTAATTCCTGTGTTTGTTTTAAACTATAGAAAATGTTGTGGATCAGTTTTAATGTAACTTTTAGGCTTTTTCAACATTTTAATATGTTTAATTTTACATAACACAGAAAATAAACTAAACAAGAAAGTCAAAAAAAATGACAATGTACAGTATAACATAAATAATAGGAGGCACCAACTGCTTTTTGATTCCATGTGTCACCCCAATATCAAATGTAGCGTCATGAATGGCCTCTAATTTGTGACATAGGTCACATTTTCCCAGCTGTGTCGAACTGTAACTTTGCTCCACAGATTACCCCACCAGGAGCCGTGATGTCTGCTGAAACAACATCTTTATCTGCTGCTGTTCCATCCCAAGATGAAGGACACTTCAAGATTTTACAATAATAATTTTAAATAATAATTTTAATAAACTCTTGACTTTATTACTGTGTATTACAATCATCATAAATAATCTCTTGGTTCAGTATAAATGTATTTTAATTACTGAAATAACTTATTATGCTTTGGGTAACAATATAATCATTTATGATAATCCGTAATGTGTGTTCAGTAAACCAGAAGATCCTTTGTCTTATCTTAAATTTAAACTCATTTATGTGTAACTTTATGTTTAGATTTTATTCCAAATAATTTTAAATTTAATTCTTTGCTATTATTCTTGTAACATTCATGCATGGAATTACCATTTCTTCGGGTTACAGTTAGATAAATATGGTGGGAAAATGACT